CAATTTACTACTGATACTGAATATCTGAAGATGGGTATTACTTCAGTATTAATTCTTGTAATATATCTTCTATTACTACTTTCATCAGTATTTATTTCTTCCATTTTCTTCATCATCTTTTATTTGATGATTTTACAATTGAAGGTATCATTAATTTCATCTGACTGCCATACACCTAAATATTTATACAAATCCTCTCCTTCAATTATTGGGATGTTTTGCATTCAATCTGGTATTTTATTAATGTTCTTTAATACCATTCCTGATTTATTTTCATTTCCATCCCTATTCCACTTATTATTTGTTTAATTTCATTGTGGATTGTTCCCATTTCTTCACTACTTTGTGTCATTATTCTCAAATCATCCATATACAATGTATGGTTTGCTTTTGGGAACTTCTCTTCTATGATTTGAGAAATTATATTCATTTGGATGATGAAGAGTAGAGGGGATAAGGAATCACCTTGTAAAATTCCTCTCTTCAGTTTAATACATCCCAGATATTCGTTGTATTTATATCATATGAATATCTTCAATCTGTTCATCATACTTTCTACAATGTCTATGATGACACCCTCTACATTAAAATATTTAAGTGTTTCTATTACCCATTCATGATTTACTGTTTCATATGCTTTCTTAATGTCATAATATGACTCTACATATTTTGGGTATTTTTCTTCTTTTTGCTACTTTAACATATAATTGTTATTTAATCATTCTTTATCATCAAGAGATTGCAGTTTACATCCCAATTGATTTTTACTAATTTTTAATGATTCACTATTCATGTTAATTCTATTATGAATCTTCTCTTTTAATATGGAGGTAAATACTTTCATAATTACATTTATACAACTGATAGGATGATAATTAGTGACATTGTTCATATCACCTCATTTGTGGATTAGTATAGTTCTTCCACTTACCATGTCTAGAGTGATGTTTTCAATGAAGTTTAACCATTCATTGAATATATTAAGAATGGAATCTCTTGATGATGACATTCTCTTCCAATAATACAAATATATAATGTCAATGCCTGGTGCTTTCCAATTACTTATTTTCATCAGGCTTCAATTTAAATCATCCAATGTGATGATGACACTATCATAATTCCTGTATCTTTCATTCCACGAGGTGATTTGATTTATTTTCAAATGTTCTTTATTTAATATCACCTGTGTTTCATATAACGATTTCCAATATTCTAAAGTAATATCGTTATTTGGATATATTTCATTTTGTTTTTCTTCTTTATTTTAATTTTGTTATTAGAATCAAACATGATTTTATTTGTATTGATTCTGACCCTTTCATTCTTATTAAATTTAATTCTTTCTTTAATCGTTATCATCATATTTTATGTACTTTATTCTTTTTTGTAATTTAATTTTAATTTCATCTATATCTTGTTCATTTAATCTCATGATGTATTTTATTCTGTACCATTCCTTTGATTAGATATTCTAATCTATTTATTTTCCTTAGGATTTCTTTTATTTCATCAAATTTATCTCATTTAAATTTATTTTAGAGATAATAATACATACACATTGAAATCATTTTCATATCTTCTTGCAGATTTTCTATTCTCCTGACCATACCCATTTATTATTAATTTCTCTAATTAATTTATCTGCTTCTTTCATTTTCCAGTAGTAATTAATATTTACACATTTATCTATCTTCATTTCTTTAACTTGAATGATGATAGAGTTAAGATATTCATCATCAATATCAGTAGAGTTATTTTTTATGATAATATTTTTTATTATTGGACTACACTCTACTTTCCCTTCTATGATGGAGTTCACTTTCATTTTAATATATCTTTTAGTTGTTTATTTTATTCTATGTGACTTTTTAATATTATTAATGTATTCTTTATCATTATTTACATTATTATTTATTATTTTTATTATGCTTTCTATTTGTTCATTTCTTAATTTCTTATTTAATTTCTTATTTAACCAATTAATTGCAAAACAATACAACACATCAATTAAAATTATATTTGTTTGATTTGTTGTGTTTTCTTCTCTTCTTGACTGATTATCATTTCTTGTTTTTTGATACTCAGTGTTTTGCTCTCTTCTTCTTCTATTTCCAGAATTGTCTTTTTCATAGTTGTAGTTTTGTTCATTTGTATTGTCCCAGATGATGATTTTCTCAATATTGGTTGTGTATTTATCACTAGAGTCATTGTTTTCTTCTTCTTCAGTTCCTTCTGGGATAAAAAATTTTCGATATTTTCTTGTTGTTTTGATATTAATTGTTTTTGTTCTTCATTTTCTCTTTGTGTATGGTCTAATTCTTCTTTTGTTTTTTCTTCATCTCATAGTTTTGAATCCCACTTTTTTGATATACAGAGATTTGATTTTCTTTATCTCTTATGCTCTTCTCTAGCAGCTTAGCACTCTTCTCCAGCTCATCACCCTTCTTCTTCTCCAGCTCAGCACCTTTAAGGAATTCGTCCTTCCCCTTCTTCAGCTTCTCATAGTTAGCTCAGAACGTTCGAATGGTTTCATCCTTACCTCCTACTTCTATGACCCTTCTACCATTTGTTTCATTTATTTTTCATTGTAATGTCTTATTTTCCTCTTTTAGTTTAGAGTTTTCTTATTTCATTACATGTATTTTGAATATTGTTCATTTGTGTTTGAATCTTTTTTATTTCTTCTTCAAACTCTTTTCTAATTGTTTCTCGTGCTTTTTGAATCATTTCATCTGAAATGGTTTGTTCTTCTTTTTTGTTTGAAGTTCTTTAATAGTTTCTTCTATTTCTTTAATTTTATTTTGAAGTGTGTTAATTTCTTCTTTGTTGCCTTCTTCTTCCTTTTTCTCTTCTTTATCTTGTGTTTTCCTTTTATTTTCTTTTTCATTTATTATTCTTGCAGCTTTACATCTATCGTTCATTTCTTTAATTCGATTTTTGTTTTTGATTCCTTCTTCGATTGTTTTAATATCTTCACTTGTCCAATCTTTTGTTTTATCTTTGAATTCTTCTTTGATTTTCTCTAGTGTTTTCTTCTTTCTTATTGAATATACTTCTTGGAGAATATTATACAATTTCTTTACCTTCATACTTTTTAAGTATTTCTGAATATTCTCATTTCTCCCATTTTCTTCTTATTCTTTTAATTTTCTTTTGAATTTCTTTTGTTATTAATAATTTAGATTTCTTGTTTGTATAATGT